AATGTAAATAAATTACATGAGAAATAAATAACCTTGATGCGAAGCTATGTGGTTTGGACTCATGGGGGGTTTTCATAAGTTACAGACCTTAATTATAAGTTTCACCAAAACAAATCATAAAACTTAAATGATTTTAAATTCAATGTTTAATTGTGCTATTGGAAGATAGGTAAATTAGAACCGGGTTAAATAGCTAACAATACATCGGAAGAACTTGTTAGTGATTTTACGGTTATTTCCCCTACTTTGAACAATTAATTGAATTATCAACCTAATAGAATAAATTTGGATAGAATTAAGTGAAGTCCAAAATCCCTAGTAGCTTTTAATCCTTGATTTCTTTCTTTTCATCAAATATTCTTGCTTGATTTCCTTTTTTATTCTCTTTTAATTTACTGAAATTAAGTTCTTAAATATAATTCTCCTTATTGCCGTTTAAATAATACTAGGTTAACAATAATTTTTGGTACTTAAGTAATACAATCCTGTAAACATCCCTTCCCGGTCCAACCCCGTTAACCGAATGCACCGAGCCGAGACGCTACATCTGGTTGAACTTAAAATCCTGTCATGCTGATATCATCCTGTATACTAAATATGAATATAAAAACACTCTGTCCCAATTAAACCTTAGACTTCCCATATCTTCAACTAATCATCATAACACAACAACACTTTATATATATAGTCATAACTGTATAAATCATCAATAGCCATTTAATATCCAGCAATTAATTGCATTCATGATCTCATATTCAATCTTCATGACCTAATCATAACCAACTATAGTAAAATATTTCATATTCAATCATTTCCTCCAAATACTACACCACAATAATTACATGCTTCAAATTATATTTCGCAATCAAACGTAGCTCTAAAACAAATGTAATTAATACATGCAAATATCATCCTTAAATACATGCCATATAATACATGCCATAATTCTTAATGATATTACTCTCGATCTACTACTCCCAAATTCGTCACTTCTGTTTTGATAGTACTCTTCAAGTCTTCATGTAACAACCACAATCATCAACCTACGCGTGATAAAAATCGACGCGCTGAGTATAAAACTCAGTGGTGCTCATAATTCACATACTTAACAAAGCGTGATGGCAACTTACTTAAAATACAAAGTTCATAAAAGCATTGATAATCATAGACTCAGTAAATTTCAACATCAATGCATCTTTATAGCAAAGAATAAACTTCTAATTCATACCATAAATAATTTAGTTCTAATTATCTCATAACTCCTTTCCCTTTACATGAACCTTTAATCACATAATCACACATTATGATACTATCATGATCTTACCTGCTGTTCATTGTGTTGTATGAATGAAATCAATAAACATGTAAGAATACATAATAGTATATTTCCGTTGTCTTACTTGCTATTCATTATGCTGTATGACTTATGCACTTTTAGTCACATCATAGTCACATCATCAATAATAACCGCACAATATTATTTTTTAGAGTTTTTAAATTGAAGAAGTGGAGTGTAGAAGTGAAGAAGTGTAGAGTGTGTAGAAGTGTAGAGTGTAGAGTTTAGAGTATAGAGTGTGTAGTAGTAAAATTGAGAGAGAGAGAGGGGTATTTATAGAGGTTTGGGGGTACTGCAGCAGTGTAGTACAGTACTGTAGCAATGTAGTACAGATTACTGTAGCACGTATACTGTATGCTTCATGCAATGTTATGTCAAGATATCTGTATGGCTCCATAAGGTTATAGTGAAACCGAAGTGATAAGAAAAACTGTATGAAACTAAAACTTGGATTGAAAACTGTATGCTTGGCTGCCTATGCCTATATAATCATATCCACTCAAACCGGCCCTGTACCGGAGTACAAACTGTATGGGGCGCAAGATTCTGCTATTCTATGGTCGCGACATAGCCTTATCTACATGGTTTCTCTACCTAACTCAATGGAGCATATTAAGATGGTATGTCAATAAGAATAAAATAATGCATAGTAACTGTATCATAATTTGCATGCTTGTGTCATGTTATTTTCAACATACTGTTGTCATAAAATTCACTGCTTCATCATTTCATAAAATGTTACTGCTTACCTGTATGCGATAGCCTCGCCCAAGCGGGCCAACTTGTTGTCAATGTTTAGTTTTCACACCATTTGTGTGCTTGCGTTGTGTTATACATGTGTTCATGTTGTCTTTTTGCTTAAAATGATTGAAGGCATATCAAGTTGGAGAAAAAGAAACAATTGCAATAGAATTCATAACTTTCATACACCAGTTTCACATCAATTTCACAATTGCATAGAATACATTACAAGTTGTATTTACCGCATTTCACATCAATTTGCATGCTGCATGTTGTTTTGGATACATTGTTCTCATGTGGGTTCTTTTTGTTTTAAAAATGATGGAGGCATACAAGTTGGAGCAAAGGAATACAATTGCAATTGAAAATGAAGTCCAAAACGAGCATCAGAACACAATTCGCGAGCGCCCCATGCAAAGTCGCGAAGCGTGAAGAAGTGCAAAATGAGAGTCAGAGAGTTTCCAGGCCACAATTCGCGAGCTGCGCAAATGAAATTCGCGAGCGCAGGCGTCGTGTTTTCCAGCCTGCGCAGTCTGTACTATTTTGGGTCATAACTCTCAAATTTAACAACTCCCCGATTTGGGTGATTTCAAAAAACCCATGTTAAAAGCTAACACATAGAGGAAAATAACTTTCTATTGACACTTCCTTAAATTCCATCGTTAAATGGGGTAAAAGTAAGGTGAAAGTTACTGGTAAAACTTTTCCAGCAAACTTGTTTCAGGCATGAAACTCAAATTCTTATTCATTTATTCATTTCATCTCATGCTTTTTCACCATTTTCAGTCATCTCTTACTCAACCATGAAACAACATATTTTCTCATTATCAACACACCCACACCAAATTTCTAAATGCAGAGGAAATAATTAAACTAAAAGAGATAGCACACCTTACTCCCAAATGCTTAAGCTCCTTTTTTTAAGCTTCCTTTTTCCTTCTACCTTTGAGCTTCACCTCTCCCTAACCATAAGAAACCTCTATGAATACTCCTAAAAATATCACCAAATGATTCAATTATGAAAATCAAGAAGTTTAACTTACTTGGATAGAATAGAAGTTGAATTAATTGCTTGGGGGGGGGAATCCCATTAAAAATCTTCACTACATTAAAAGTGATGGAGAAAGGAAAGTGGAGCGGAAAATAGAGGAAAGAAGATGAAGATAAAGGATGAAGAAATGAATGAAATGGGAACTCACGGGTAGTCTCTAGAATAATCAATGATTTTTATGTGAAAATTACCAATGGTACCTCAAAGTGTCAAAATGGTACAACTTCAATACCTTCAGCTTTATACTTTCGTGCAGCCAAGTCCTAATCTTATATTTGAATCTTTTTGTTTCCTTCAAGTAAGTTCACTTCTTTTCCTTATTTCAGTTACTCCCATTCTATCCCACTCCTGGACTCTCATGGCTCTAATGGCTCGAACCGGGTTTTGAATCAGCCGGACTCGACTCTAAGCAACGACTCGATTCAATAGAAAAATGGGACGTTACAATCCTTGTGGAAATGATACTCTACTCATTCTATATTACTTATTGCGATTTTAGTATACTTGCGAAAAATCACTGTCAATGATAATAGGTAAATGGAGACTATATAATTAAATATTTCAGTACTCCATTAATTATGATAATTTATTATGATAATTAAATTTTTAGTTTATAATTTTAGAATTTCAAATGTAATAAACTTTCTAATTAAAGCTTTGAATATCACATGTAATTAGGATAATAAAGTTTTCAGTTTGTAATTTGAGAATTTAAAAGGTTTTGAATTTTAACGTTGATATAAATTCATATTGATGCACAAATTTGCTCAAAAAAAAGATTATAAAGGGTATTTGATGTTGATCCTTTTCAAAGAAAATAAAAAAACTCAAAAAGATGGTAATATTGTTGAAGAGACTCTTTTACGATATATCATCCTTGTTGCACTTAAAGTGAATTTACTATAAATTAATAATACGATGTTTGATTTTCCATCACTATAAATTAATAATACGATGTTTGATTTTCCATCTCTTACTTCATTTTTGGTGGATAATTTATTGAATGTTTTGATTTTTTTTAATATTTAACTATTATAATGTAAGAGTTGATAATTTCGAATAATACTCGATTATTTGTACACATTCTCCACTTCCTTTATAATTTGGCTCATGTTTGGATATTGATTTATTCACTAACTTTGGTTCTCGCTAGAAGAATTTTAATATGATAAATATTTTATTACTCCAACACATTCATATTTTATGTTTTTTTATATGTTTTTGGATTTATCATTTATAAGAGGTGACTGCGTAAACACTTTTCAAGAACTTTTTGAAAAAAAAATTTCATATAAGACAATAAAAATATACAAATTTGCAAAAACTGTGGATTGTGCCGATACATGACTAGTTATACAATAATTTTTACAAATTATAAATATGTTTCAATAACAATATCAAAATCAAATTTCTTAATAATAATAATAATAATAAACATGTTTGGATATTGATTTATTCACTAACTTTGGTTCTCGCTAGAAGAATTTTAATATGATAAATATTTTATTACTCCAACACATTCATATTTTATGTTTTTTTATATGTTTTTGGATTTATCATTTATAAGAGGTGACTGCGTAAACACTTTTCAAGAACTTTTTGAAAAAAAAATTTCATATAAGACAATAAAAATATACAAATTTGCAAAAACTGTGGATTGTGCCGATACATGACTAGTTATACAATAATTTTTACAAATTATAAATATGTTTCAATAACAATATCAAAATCAAATTTCTTAATAATAATAATAATAATAAGCACAAAATAAATAAATAAAATCCTAATAAGAAAGACAATCAGAAAAATAAAAAATACTTAGTAACATAATCACACAATATGTTTTAGAACAATTCAAAATAAAGTTTATACTAAAAAAAAGCAATAATATAATATTTATATTTAAAATTGCAAATCAAATCAAATTAACTTAAATCATTCATAATTATACAATATGTATAGATATACATATTGACATTATCTTTGGATTGGTTAAGGTCCATGGGTTTATCCGGTGAATCTGTGACCCAACTTAACCTGCGAATTATAAAGATGATCTCCCCAACTCAACCCATTATATCTTCAATTCCGGCGGATTGGATTGGATTGGATTGGGTTAGAGCGAGTCATGTACAATGCTAACTGCATATGTCTAGAACAATGAATCTCTGCTCAAAAATTTATATATTGAAGTCTTCTTTTGGTGAAACTCTTCTTTGAATGAAAGAATTGTAGCTTCAACTCTAGCAGAAAATCCAATCTGAGTCATTTTCTGGGCATTTATTTGTTCCTTCAGTCACATTTGATTTTCTGTGACATCTTTCTTGTAATGCTTCATTTCTTGTATCAAATGGTCATCCAATGGATAGAATGAGTGTTGAATAACGATATGTATAAAATATGGTAGCAGAGAAACAACTACAGCAAGCAATGTCACCGTCCAAAAAACTGGTGTTGATCCAATAGATTCAACAATGACATGAAATCCTCTATCAGAAAAGGCAGGAGGAAGCGCGCCGTAAACTAGCAAGAAAATGTACCATAAAAAGATACTTCCCCATATGAAAAGATGTTGAATCCAAGTGAAGTGAGTGATTATCAACGCAATTTGACAATTGACCGTCCATATTAGGCATGTGTACATAATAGCACCAAAGTGAGTGATATCTGCAACATTTCCATTTTCTCTAAATGCAGAAGGCGAGAGTATGTATATGTTTGAAAGGACTATGACTAAAGAAGCAACTGTTCCATTTAATATCCAACCCACAATGCGGCTCCAGGAAAAATATATATTTTCTTGCCCTTGCTTGTAAAGAGCCGGAAACTGTTCCATTAAGAGAAAAAAAAAACAGAAATAAAACAAGTCTAGATACATTAGGATTGGGAATATTTTCACTACAAAAAGTTAAATGATTATTGATTGTTACCGTATTTGTATGTATGTATGTGCGCATAAATGTTGTTACCTGGAGGCATACATCCGAGGGAACGTCCTGCTCGAAGACTCCAAGTGATATCACTGGCAAGGATGTTAAGAGGACATTGAACATCACCATATACCAAGAATCATACAACACTTCTCCAGAAAAGCTTGTGTATAATTCGTAGCAGAACATAGTGAGGCCGAGTGCAATGTTCTTGTACACAAAGTAGAGAACCTACACAAAAATCGAAAAGAATGTTCAGTTTTATATGTTTAGATTAAGAGATGCAAGCTCTAACATAATGAGAACTTACCATTTTCGATATTCTCTTGTAACACCAATGCCCATGAACTATAAGTAATCTTTCCAAGAATCTAAATTGAGGCATTGAAAAGTCACTTGCCATTACTGCCTGCAAACATATACAGTTAGAGCCTTTAGAAATTTCAATAGTCCTCAATAAATGAGATAACTAAGCCTAAAATTAAGCTTCAAAATTAGTACATATAGTTCTATCTTTTTTTGTCTAAATTTTATGAATCTTTTGTTCTATTTAATTGAGGCTAGAAACAACAGAAAAACAAATTTCCTAGCAAACATTGAGGGGCTTACTTGCATGCCTTCCTGGCCACTGATTCCAATGCCAATGTCAGCTTCTTGGATCATGCCAACATCGTTCGCTCCATCTCCAATTGCCAAAATTGTACTACCGGTATATTCCTTTACCAATCGCGTAATCTAGAAGTGGTATATATACGTGACAAATTTATACTGGATAATGTGACACATTGAACAAATGTGACAAGAAATGGAGAAAAAGAAAAATAAAGATAGACATTCTTAGTGAACAAGGCAAAATAAGTTGCAAAATAACAAGGTACAATCATACCAAAGCTTTCTGTTTCGGAGAAACTCTACAGCAAATAACAGAGGCACAATTAGCAGCCAACCGCAAGAATTGGTCCCTTACACCATCTTGCAATGTGATTTCAAGTGTCCTTCCATCAACCACCAAAGCAAAAGGTGAAACTTTATTGCTATCATTACACATCATTTGATATGAACTTTCAATTTGATATAAAATATCCTCTTTCAGAGCCTGAAAACACGGAATAGGACATGCATTAGTACAACTACCTAATACAACAACGGACAAAAAAAAACTAAGCCTTAGTCCCAAACTAGCTGGAATCAGCTATATGAATCATTTGTTTCCAATATCAGCATTGATCAAATTAATAGTTACGCTAATACTAGTACCAAATAAGAGCAGAAATTTCCATCTATTTTTTTGTTAGATATGTAACAATTTGAATATTTAAATTTTGTAATTTTTCATTGTTTTCTAAACACCTAAAGCTTTTTGAGATAAATTCTTGGGAGTTAATTCACCTCCATATGGTTGTTAGATTCAGCTTCCTTCCTTAAACATATATGGCATTGTTTCATATCTTGTCGTAGTAGGCTGCAAGCAAATCTGCATTGGAAGCAAAATTAGACTTCTAACTTTTATAAGATTGTATGTTTTAAGATTACTAGTAATAAGCACAAGCCTTACCCAATATTTATTGCAGTTTCTCTCTTGTCACCTGTGAGTAGCCATATTTTTAACCCTGCTTGAGAAAGTTTATCTATGCATTGGGGAACCTATTGTAATAAAGTGAAGAAAAGAAAGCAGCAATTACACAAAATGTATGTATATACATGCGTAAATATAACACTCTGGACATAGGGCGAGAGAACTAACCCCTTCTTGCAACTTGTCCTCAACAGCAACAGCTCCTAATAAGATTAAATCTTTTTCAATAATTTCGGATGCTTTCTCAAGTAATTCTTCTCTTTGAGGACCTACTATAGTCTTTGAGTGTGTAAATTTTGAATTCCATTTTTCATATTCTGCATGGTCAATTATCCGATAAGCGAATGCTAGAGTCCTCAATCCATCTTCAGCATAACTTGAAAGGTGTGAAGTTGTAGCCTCTTGGTATCCTCTGCCATTATCTGCGAGCCTATCGAAAATGATGCTGCTAACCAAAACCACTCAATAAATAAGATATTGATCAAGAAGGATTAATTACTAGAACTACCTTACAATATATACACAACAAGCTTCAATGAGTGGACGGTGACATACCTATCTGCTCCTTTGCAAAGAAGAAAGATTTTGCCAGCTTCATCGCTTACTACCACCGACATTCTCTTGCGAGAGCTACTAAATTCCAACAAGTTCAATAGCTTATATTCCCTGAAAACAAGCTTGATATCAAATTTAGAGATTGGAATGTAGATGATAGAGCTTTATACATTTATTGGAGAATGTTTTTTACCTATTCACTTTCTTTCCAGAGGAAGGATCAATCTCCTTAATAACCAATAAGGATTGAGTCCTTTGACAAAATTGGAACCCAAATTCTTGTGAAGCAATCAGAAATACTACTTCTTCTGGTGACTCTGCCTCGTAATTAAGCTTATCAGTTTCATTATCTTCAACAGGAATGCCAGTGTGACATAGAGCCATGACTCTAAAAAACATAGTAACATCAAACAGGTCAGGTCGGTCAATCCATTGATTGCTCGTTAACCTCTCATCTCTGAAGTTGAAGCCCTTCATGACTGCTTCTTTCCCCAAATTAGAGATTCTTGACTGTCCCAAATTCAAATAATGCACATCTTCTTGACCCTCTGGAGCTGACTTTTGGATGCTAGTATCAGCTACAGAGGGCTCAAGCATCTCAAAAGCTTGGCTACTTGCATCAGAATTTTCGGTACTAAATCGGCATGCTTCAAGGTCAACATCAGAATTCATTCTTTTGGAAGCTCCAATATCAACTTGATTTGTGTCACCCCCATACGAAATTCCAGCAATTGAGCATCTCTGGAATTCCATCTGGTTGCAGGTCAAAGTCCCAGTTTTATCTGATAGAACTATTTCTACTTGACCAAGTTCCTCGTTTAAATTCGAAGTTCGAGCTTGGACTGACTTACAGCTAACTTCATCATACATTTCTATGTCTTTGTTAATGAACATGGCTTGTAGAACTTTGACAACTTCAATGGAGACATATAGAGAAATAGGAATCAAGTATCCATACAATATGAAGGCCCTTATAAATTGCTGAAAGCCTGAATTTACCGGCTTCAGAGGATTAAAAAGAGGATCAGGATCTTCTGGAAAAAGGTACCACCATCCAGCCATGTCAGATTTCATGACTAATACAGATCCAACAGAAGCAATTGATGAAATCAGAAGCAGCAAAGAGAAAAGAAGGTATATGACTTTATCCATCTTTCGCTCAATCTGGCTTCTTTTACATGGTGCTTTTGTAGAATTCCTGACTACTTTTGTATCATGTCCACTGAAAATCACTACTCCATAAACATAATAAGTGTTTCGAAGTTTTGAATCTCTTAAAAGCACTTGAGAAGGGCACAAGGGATACATTTTATCTTCTAGAACTATGTTCCCAACAAAAGAGTAAAGGCTTGGATTAGGATCTTCACATCTAACAGTTGCTCGAAAATTGCGAAATTCTTCATCATCATTCAATCCCAGAGTTTGTTCTAAGCATCTTTTTATTTTCAAATTTGTTTCTCCATCCAGATTCATAGTCTCCACATAACACACACCATCTTCATAGCTGGAAGATAGTAAAAGAAGATCACTTGGGAAATATTGATTCTTATTAACTTTAACTATATCTCCTACAGAAAGTTCTTTCCATAATCTATCCACAAATTTACCATTTCCTGAATGAGCTTTCACTGTTCGATTATTTACATGTAAATCCTGCAGAAAATTTTAAAACAGCATACCTTAAACAAAAAATTTCGCCTAAAACGAAAAGTAGAAATATGCAACAATCAAAGGCAAATACCTGCAAGAACCTATACCAATCCTCAACAGCCTCTTTAAGCATGCTTATACCCACCACAATAACCAATGGAGCAATCAGAGTTTCGCGTTTTACCGGAGCTGAAGAAGTGTAAGATAGTACTGCTGCCAAGAGAAAATAAAGATTGGCAACTCTTCGAAACTGCTCAAAAAGAGCTTTTGGAAGAAAAGTTACTATATTGTACTTTGTTGTTGATATTGAGTTGTTTGGATATTTATGAGGCTGCTTCTTGTGCGATTGAGGTTCATTGCAGAAAACCATCCTGGAAAATCCAGGCTGACCAATGAGTTCCTGATCAGCAGGAAGAGGATCGTTGGTTCGAGGTTGAAAGCAGGAAAATGAATATAGTTTGCTCCATCTAATCTTTCCCTTCTTTCTAGATAATTTTTGCATTGCTATTAATTTTCAGGTTTCTGTTAACTCTTGCAATTGTACAAAAAAAAAATCTTCCCAATAAAAGAAAACTAAAGCAGAACTTCAAGAACAGCTCTCATATCCAATAAATTGTACAATTCATATCTTTAAATAATGATACTTAAAGCTTGTCTTTTTCTAAAACATTGCGTGTTTGCATTATTATCTCAAAATATCTTTCTTGTGAGAGAGGCTTCCAATGCTTGCACTTAGTAATTTCTTGGATCTTGCGGTGCAGGCCATCCATTGGCCGGCCTGATGATATTTAAAAAACTTTGACCTTTCTACTTTCCATTGACATAATCGAAATTAAGACATGCATGGCAACTGCAAGTTTGATAAAGTCAATTCATTTGTTCTTTTCTGGTAGCAATTTAATTTTTCTTAACGGAAATGATACTCAGAGAAGCGATTGCTAAGAATTTCACTAAGCCAAGCCTGAAGATACTGTTTGTCAATTGTTTCCTCAAAAGTCAAAACATCAACTCTTGTACACATGTCAAGCTGTAAAATAAAGAGAAGAGTTTGAAAATTTTTATTCACTGTTTGGTATATACAAACATTAGCAGAAAGCTGTATATATAGCCTGTACAGGAAGCTAATATAGAAAGAAAGAAAACAAATTATATTAATTTAGGCTATAATTTACAATCAGATTAGGTAACTAGAATATTTCTATCCTACAATTGCTCCTTGACAGCTCACGTTGATACAGATTTTTTTTATTGCACTGTTTGGTATATAACAACATTAGCAGAAAGCTGTATAGTATAGCCTGTACAGGAAAGCGTAATATAGACAGAAGAGAAATACAATGATATAATTTAGGCATAATTTACAATCAGATTAGGTAACTAGAATATTTAATCCACCAATTGCTTCCTTGACAGCTCACGTTGAGATACTTCAGATTTGTTTGGAGCTGAAAGTATAATTCAATGTAATCAGCCCCCCTCAACGCTGTGTGCGTAGGATACCAAAGACGCAGATTGTTGCAATGAGCTCAAATATATGGATAAACCCAAAGGTTTATTGTCATCACATTCATCACATCAGCAACTTGATCAGTGCTTTTTAGAAAATGAATTTGAATTAAACCACGTTTCACTTGATCTCTGATGAAGTGGTAATCGATTTCAATATGTTTTGTGCGAGCATGAAACACCGGATTAGAGCTGAGATAAATAGCACTTACATTGTCACACCAAAGTTGTGCTAGTGATTTTAAAGGAAACCCAAGTTCTTGTAGCAGTGTCGTTAGCCACATGACTTCAGCCGTTGTGTTTGCTAGAGCTTTGTACTCACTTTCAGTACTTGATCTTGCTACAGTAGGTTGTTTTTTTGAGGACCACGATACTAAGTTTGTTCCCAAATAAATGAGATAACCACCTGTAGAACGACGATCATCTGGGCACCCTGCCCAATCACTATCAGAGTAGCAATGTAAAACAAAGGAAGAGTCACGTTGTAGTAACAAACCATGACTAGATGTCTGCCGTAAATAACGTAAAAGACGTTTACAAGCTTGCCAATGCACTGTTGTTGCACAATGCATGAATTGAGCAAAGCAAAGTTTGTTAAACACTGAAAGCGATGTTCCGGACTGAGTTAAGGTAACATATTGGCAATGCTCCAACAAAATTTGTCTATACTCATTACCCGAAAGAGAAGTTGGTGCCCATGGTTTTAAGCTCAAACTTGGAGTTTGAGCCATTGGGTGTACGGGCACCCCCTTCATGCTTGCAATTGTAGCTTATAAATATGTCCCAATATATTTCTGTTGAGAAAGGCAGTAATCCTTTGGCCATGCGTTGGAATTTCAACTCCCCAAAAAAAATATGTTATATCGCCAAGATCACGAAACAGGAAGATTCTTGTTGCAATTTATCCACAAACCATGTTGAAGTTTTGAATTAGTTGTGATTGATTTCCTGTAACGAGTATATCATCGACATAAACAAGAACAAATAATTTCTTAGTACCATTAGAATAAATAAAGAGGGAATGATTTGAATGAGAACGCTGAAATTTAAGAGTCTCAAGAAATGCTGTGAGCCATTCAAACCAAGCTCGAGGAGCTTGTTTGAGACCATATAATGACTTTTGAAGCTTGCAAACATAATCTGGATTTTGCTTGTCAATAAATGGATTTTGCTTGTCAATAAATCCAATTGGTTGTTCCATAAATAGCTCCTTATCCAAAAATCCATGAAGAAAAGCATTAGATATATCAAGTGGACGTGTTTCCCAATTTTGTGATGCTGCAATAGATAATACAGTTCTTACAGTTACAAATTTAACCACTAGTGAGAAGGTTTCTGAATAATCGATACCGAACTGTTGAGTAAATCCCTTGGCCACTAATCGTGCTTTAAAACGCTCAACTGAACCATCAAACTTATGCTTGATGCGATAAATCCATTTATTTTTAATGATGTTGGCATTAGAAGTCCGTGGCACTAATACCCATGTCTGATTTTTTTGTAAGGCAGTGACTTCTTCCAGCATAGCATCTTTCCAAACCTGATATTTATTAGCATGAGTAAAACAAGTGGGTTTATTAGCATGATATTAGCATGAGTAAAACAAGTGGGTTCCTGATTGGGCATGGAAGTGGCTATGTAGGAAAATTTTTTTGGTTTAAGATTAGGCCGAAGGACCATATGATGGGTGCGGATGGGTTTGGATTTATCTATGGATTCTGGTGTAGATACAAGAAGTTGTAAACTAGGAGAATTAGATTTTGGAGATTCAGTGAGAGAAGATAAAGACGGCATAGAAATAGGTGGAAGAGATTTTGGTGAGGTGGAATTATTTAAATTAAGCGGAGAAGATAAAGAAACAGAGTTTGAGTTTTGAAGGTTACCTAATTCTGATGAAAGAACCAAGTCTGGAGAAGTTTGACATGTTACAGTTAACCAATTTTGTTCAGCCTTGTGTTCATTAGAATGAGTAGCACGGCTAGCATAGGGAAAAACATTAGAGTGAAATTGGACATGCTTTGCTAAATAAATCCGACCTGTACTAGCATCTAAACTTCTATATGCAGAATGATAAGGACTTTGACCCAAATATATGCATTCACGAGTGCGATAAGAAAATTTGTGAGAATTATATGGTCTTAACAGTGGAAAAACGGAGCAGCCAAATGGTTGGAAGGCCAAAGAGTTTGGATCTTTTGCATATAATAAAGAATATGGAGAATTTTTGTTAAGAACATCAGAGGGTAAAATATTGATTAACATTGCACTTTGTTCTAAAGCATAATTCCAATATTTCAAAGGCAGACTGGCATGAGCAAGCAATGTTAAAGTCGTATCAACAAGATGTCGAATTTTTCGTTTTGCCGTACCATTTTGTTCATGAGTGTACGGGCAGGCAATTCGATGTTAAATACCATGATTTTTAAAATACTGATGAAGACGTTGATACTCTCCACCCCAATCTGAATGAAAAGCAAGAATTTTCTTTTTAAATTGTCGAAAAATTAACTGTTCAAACTGCTTAAAAATATCAAACACTTCACTTTTTGCTTTCATAAAATAAATCCATGTAAATCTAGTGAAATCATCAATGTCAAATCTAGTGAAATCATCAGTAACAAATATAAACAAAAATATACGATGACCTAAAGCTAGACTGAACAGGGGTAGGACCCAAACATCTGAAAAAAATACAAACTTCAAAAGGGAACATAACACTTGTGTTCCTTGGAAACAAGAGGAACACGTCTCAATTTTCTCAAGAACGACAAGCTAGCACATGGACTAGAAACAGAACTAGAGCTTGAAATGTTATTTTGCTTTGCTAAAGAAAAAAATTTTTCTGCACGTTTGGGTGTCCCAGCCAGACTATGCCACTCATCCCAGAGAAGGTTGCACATTTGCAAAGATACACAAAGGCTAGAGAACTGGAGGTTGACGAAAACTTGTAACTCCATCTTCACTTGACCTTTTCATCTAGAATTTTGCTTGCTGGTTTGGGTCCTTTATGATAGAAAATAATGTGGCCAAAATCAAAAAACACAGAATTGTCCAGTTGCAAATTTTGAACAGAAAGGATGGTTTTTCTTTAATCTAAAAGAGACAACATAAAATTTTATTCAATGCGTAAATCGAATATCAGTAGAAAAAAAAAAGAAAAACAAACTATACACTATTACCAGTATGGGAAATTGATAAACCTTGTCCATTACCAACAAAGAGCTGATCCGGGCCTGTGTATTCATTGATTTGAGTCAAATGATTTGGATCAGCAACAATATGATAGTTGGCTGTTGTGTCAAGGAACCATGTCACTTGTGCAGGAGATGCAGAAGATTGAACAGCTGCAACATTAACTGTTGGAGTGGTATTGCTGGCATTAACATTTCTAGAATTATAATTTCTAGTATTTTGGTTCCGCTGATATCGGCGACGACAAGTAAGAGTTGTGTGATTACGATAACCACAAATTTGACAAGCAAAAGTATTTTGCTGATTTCGATTTTTGTTATTGCCCTGATTATAATTAGCTCGATAAGCTGGACGAGATTGATGCTGAGAATGAGGAGTTGGGAGAAGAGGTGTTTGGGTTCTGAGAGTAAGATTGGCAATAGGCTCATGAGAATTGTTTAAAAGAAGTTCATGGGCAACAAGGTGACCATGAAGTTCATAGAATGACACAGGTTCAGGTCTCAAATTAAGAGAAGTAATTATAGAGTGATATTCATACCCAATATTTCTATATATTATGGCATTAAATTCAATGGCATTTAAATTCAGCAAGTGGCAGAGACAGAAAGATCAGCTTTTTTAAGCTTTTGAAGATAAGCAGAGACAGAAAGATCAGCTTTTTTAAGCTTTTGAAGATAAGCAGAGACAGAAAGATCAGCTTTTTTAAGCTTTTGAAGATAAGCAGAGACAGAAAGATCAGCTTTTTTAAGCTCTTGAAGAGAAATATGGAGCTGAAGTTGAAGATTTTGCGAAACCGATCCAAAGGCATTAGCTAGGGCCTGCCATACAGCATAAGAAGATTTAAGTCCAATAACTAATGGATAAACTTCTTCAGAAAGAGAGCAAGAAGCC